TTGGACTTCTATCTCTTGGTGGCTTGATTAGGAACAGTGATAAGTTCACAAATGTATTAAGTTAATAAATAATGGCGAGATTCGTCTGAGTGATTGCTGGATGGTCTGTCTAGAGTCGGGATGCTGAAGGTAACACCAATTAGGTAAATGGACAAAATTTCTATTTCTATTAATTCTCTCTTTCTTCCTTCCCTACTCTCTCTCTCTCTCTCTCTCTCTCTCTCTCTCTGTATATATATATATATATATATATATATATATATATATATCCAGAGGGAGTGAAGAAACGAGTTTTCTACGAATAAGTAATGTCGAAATCACTTCCCTAACAAATTTAATAAAGCATTAATCTAGAAGCCATTATCTATAATTTAATATATATACTGCCCTATTTAATATATGTATGAAAAACTGATCCGCAGTACAAAACTCTGGAAAATTACATTATATATCTATATCTATATCTATATCTATATATATATATATATATATATATATATATATATATAATATCATACAGAAAAATTAACCAGTAAAGTTAATATAATTAATGGCGAAATGGCTTCGCTGAAAATTTGAAAAAGCATTAACCTATTAACCATTCGTTGAATGACACGATCCTTCAGAGTCTGTCTATATTTCTGAGATGAGGTATTATGTACATTATTTACATTATTCGGACTATGACGCGATTCTTATGTTTAAAACTGTAAGATGGATTTGATGTTCCGGTGCTGCTAGTACTTTCGAAAACCATCGCATTTTCATCATCAGGCTTTAGTATTTTGTCTCCATTTCAGGTAACTCCAAGACGAAATAAATGTATTATAGACCGAAAGATATATTTTTTACGAATGACTTATTTATATATATGAGACAAAATGAAAAAGTCCAATCCCCTCTGTTCGGAAAGCAAGTCAAAACTGTTTGTAAGAAAAATGCGTTGTAACTTTTGATTAAGATTTTAGCGTCCCCTCTTCTTCATGCACATGTGTAATCACATCAACGCAAACATCCTTTTTTAGTCCGATGAAGTCTTCAAGGAAGGAACGTGTCAAAGATGGACTTTCATTACTTCAAAAGTTATTTTTAGTGGATACTCGTATTTGAAATAGACGCTTCGTTTTTTGTTTTGTTTTGTTTTTGTTTTTTTTAATTTTCAATTGTGTATTACGTTTATCGGTCTGCGCGCTAGGAAAAACCTTAATAAAGAAAATGTGCTCCCCGGCTGGGTCGTATATAGAAGAAACAGCATTTTATCCGGGGTGCTTGAAACCACTCAGCCATGGAGAACATCAAATCCCAGCGTGGTTCTATTTTCACTCATAAGTAATTCATGCTTTCTCGTTCTCAGTTGCGTATCCGAAACATAAACAAAGCAACCCCTAAAAGGTAACACTGAACTGAAGTAATATATATATATATATATATATATATATATATATATATACGAGACAAAAAAATGGACGCACCCATAGAAATGATGATGAACAAAATAAAAAGCTCATTACATTTGTATTTCCATTTATTATGATGCCTAAGCGTTTTTCTGACTTCGAGAAAGGCCAAGTCGCCGCTTTTCATGATCTTGGGTTGTTGAATAGATCGATAGCTAATAAGATTAATCAAAGTGAGTCATGTTAATCAAAAAGTTAATCAAAAAGAGAAATCAAACTGGAAAATATAATAGACGTAACCGATCTGGTCGACCCCTAAAATCTATCGACAGGAAGATAGAAACTTGGTTCGTCACTGTAAAAAAGATCGATTTGCAACAGCACAAGATGTTTCCAAAGCGGATAGTCTGGCGGTTTGTTAAAAAACAATCAAGTTAAAGCGCAAGTTATTTTTTCCAAATACATAAAAACTAATCCAATCTTTGTCAGCATTGCCGGATTTACTATTGAGACAGGATTAAATAGTAGTGTCGTCTGCGTAGATGTCTCCTTCAGAGCTGATGATATCAGGAAGATCATTGATGAAGATCAGAAACAGTGTAGGACCCAGGATAAAGCCTTAGGGAATACCCGCGTTCGTATGAAAGAAACTGCAAGAGAGCCTGTTCTGGACGACCTTCATTTTACTATTTGATAGGAATGATCGGATTAAATCAAATAATTTTTAATACCGCAGACTTGAAGCTTACGTAGGTCTGTCACCTTCACTTGCTTTATAAGAGTCTAATTTAGAGAACTGCTCAGGAACGCATTTCTTAAGAACTATGGCTGGTATCCTGTCACCTTCACTTGCTTCATGAGAGTCCAATTTAGAGATGATGTTCATGACCAACGATTGGGTTATGCACATATCACGCAGAGAGACTTAGTTCTTGGGTGAAAGTCAGGTGTGTGCACTCTGGATGTTGGAAGGTCATGGCACATAAAAAGAAGAGAAAGAAGATTTTTTTTTCAGTGAATACTGAGTGCTGTTTTCGATATTTGCTAGAATCAACCTGGTACATCACAGAGTAAAAGAGAAACGGGATGAGGATGATTGTGTT